AAAGCAAAAATTATGCAGACGTTCATACTTGAAATCCACCCAGCATGTAGATTTATCCCGTTTAACGAAATTCAACCTTCGTTTCAACGGCTTGTCCACCAATATCGCAACACGAATCCGGTAAAATACCTTCCAAGGAGCACCTGCAAACCTGTCATCACCCTTTATATAAGTTCCGAGGTAATTACCAATCTGTTCCAGGATCTTGTCTGATGTATACCCCATAGGCAAGCCATGAACCTGGACCCACATCTGCACCGTATCCAGTTTTACATCATCGGGAAATCCCCCATCCACAAGTTGATCACATACGAATGTCGCATTCTCGAATGCCCACGGTCCGTCATTGAGAACCCTTTGCAAGTCAGTAACATGGCTGAAAGTGAATAGAAATAATCGGGGCTTTATCTCCGAAACCTGCATACCCGCAACCGGTTGCCATGATGCCGCCATTACTTGTCTCATATACTCAATTTTCACGAGCTTATGCGTCAAGAACCTCCCCAACAATAACCACCGCTCCACCTTCTCTGCCGCCACTATCTCATCCGCATCCAACTCAGGCGCAAAGGGTGCTGCCTCTTCCTCCTCAATCGCCAACCCCGCCCATCTTGCCGTGATCGCGGCCACAGCGCCATCTGCACGCTGCTCCTCCATCTCCCCTTCGCAGAACAATACGTCCACAACGTAACAACAACACGCCCACACCGTAGACGCTTGACGGAACAAAAAACCGGTACCACTTACCGGAGAAGATCGCTGCTTGAAGTCGGAAACCTTGGAAACCCTAGGAGTTGAAGCCGAGAAACCCTAGAAGACCTAGAGAGAAAAATAAATTTCTTAATAATTTAATTGATGGAAAAGTAGAATTATCGGTTAGTTTTTGGAATTGTGATTGATGAGATTTCGGTTACTTAATCATTATATTTTATGAGATTTTTTTAATGATTAGGACGGTAATATTTAAGAGCATTCACATTTATACGTGTTAAAGATTTTTTTAAAATAAAAAATTAAATGGCAGTTTTTTATTGATGTAGAGATGGGGTTTCTAGAATTTTTTTTCTTGCAAATGTAGTATTTTTGTGGGACACATCAACTGAGAGAAAAATGGAAAGCATCCGAATTGCTGAGCGTGGAGTGCAGCCATCGCGCCCAGTAGGAGCGTGCATAGAGCACCCTCCTTCCGGGCGTGTTTTTGTTTCAATTTTAAGCTTTTTAAAAAAAAAAATTAGATGAGGTGTCAGATTTATTTTTATTTTTATTTTTATTTTTATTTCTCTTTTTTTCTTGCCTTCTTTCTCTTTTTTAAGTGGAGCTTTAAAAATCGTGAAAATGCTTGAGCTGATATGGATGCTTTTAGACTGTGTCTTTTCTTGTTCTAAGAGTTACTTTGAGTTTCTTAGATCTCATAAACTAGAATTATGTGGAAACTAATTTACTTGGTTGATTCTACATATTGGTAAACATAAAAAAAGGGTGTATGTGTTGACTAAACGAATCATTACTAATGGCAAGTCATCACACCCTCCAATCTCCATGATCAAGTAAAGAGTGGGTTTGAATAAATTCTTCTTGCTCAATAGCTGCAAGATTAGTTTCAAAATCCTTTATATGCATATTTCTTTGTCAATTCTACTTTTCTCTTTGGTGACAGTCAATTAAAAGCATGTGGAACAGTTACAAGAGGCGACTCATTAAGCACGGCCTCATCAAATAGAAGAGTTATTGAGGAGTCCTGACATTTATGAAGAGGAGCCGTTGCATTTGTGAAGGGTTCATCAATGCTCATTATTGTAGTCGTTACTACAGTATAAAAATCTGAGCCCATGTAACAAGGGGGGACACATTCTAAAACTCTGTATTCACGTTAGCAATACAACTTGTCTCAATTCGCTTATATTAAAATATACTCCGGTAACCATATTTACCGTCACTCTCCATTTATATTCACACCCTATTTTAAAAAATCAAATTTACTTACAATAAATATGTAGATAAATCTATAAAATTTATAAATATTGCAGTGTATTCTTGTTGTACGGTGCATGCACACATGTTCAGTTGAAGAGTGTTATTTTCTTTTAAAACTTAATTAGATTCGTGGATTCTCAATCCTCAAGCCATTATTTGCTTTGTACGGCATTGAGGTTAGTAACAATTAGGTTTATTTGGGAGGTGATGATTTCTTTTTTTTAGGTATAAAGTTTTCTTTAAAGGTTAATTCTAAGTAATTTTGGTACTTTAGGTTGGGTGTAGTTAGATTAAAGAAGAAAAAATAGCAACAAACGTAGACAGATCAAGTGTCTCAACTCTCAAGTTAAGTATATATGGTTGGATTACCTTAACCAATTAATGCTATCATAGCCTCCAATTTATCCTCCAAAGCATAACCAATCGGATTCATATATACCCATACCATAATTAATTTTAAAAAGTACAAACTTATTAAAATATTTTACACCATTGTAGAACATGGACTTAACTAGAACTTTAACTACAAATTTCGTTCTACCAGAATTTCCTACCAACTACTAAGGAAATCGTTTTTTATTCAAAATCATTAGAGAATTATCTCCATTGGTTTAATTTAAATAATAAATTTTAAAACATAATACATCAACATTTAAATGTCAAAATTATAATTATACATTTTAAAACTCTAGTTATGAAGTGAGTACGAATATTTTCTTAATAATAATAATAATAATAATAATAATAATAATAATAATAATAATAATAATAATAATAATAATAATTACTGAAAGATAAAAGGTAAGGGCAATTGCGTCATCTCACCTCCTCTTCTCTCAAAAGGTTGAATCCCTGGCTTGACGAAGTATTTAGGAGGATGTGAATCACAGTGACTCAATGATAGAGCCAAATGTCGGTGCGCATAAGGGATGTGTCCACTTTGAACATAATCCCCATAAGATCTATCCACTTTAGGCATAATCCCCACAAGGTCATATTGCAGCTGCCGAAGTTTGAACTTTAATCTCTTCTCCCAAATACTCCCCACTGAACCATTGAGTTAATTTAAGACCGTGCGGGCACCATCCCACCTCCATATGTAGTATTGGTGTTAGCTAAATGCATAATTGAACACAACCAAATTTTAAATATTTATATTATATATTATAAGAAATTCTACAATACTTTTTATTACAATATGCATATTTTAAGAAATGAGAAAGTATTTTGATTGTATTAACTAGGTTGAGATTGAAATGAAGAAGGGTAAAAAAAAAAAAAAAAAGGTAGCATGTCACTAAAATCCCTCATAATTCATTTTTTGACAAAAAGTTATATATTGTAGTAAAAGCTTCCATTATATCATATATTATGCGGGCTCCCCTTGAGTAAAGGTCACAGTATCGAACCTAATCGTGGGGTCTTGACTTTTTGGACTGCAATAGATAAAGAAAGTATAGAACAAATACTACCTTGTAATAGAGTCAATAATATTTAAAAAAAAAAAAAAAACAAAACAAAACAAAAAACAAAAGTGTAGTTATGTAAAAAGACATTTCAAAGCCCTATTGTAAGATAAATACTTCTAATAATAAAATTTGTAATTAAGAATTATAAAATTTATAATTTCATTGGTATCTTTTGTTCGGCTACTTTGATACACGTATACAAGGCAGGGCCCATAGTACAAATTTTGAAGGACAGCCCAAACTGAATGGCTATAATGGGCTAAACATGGTTTAATGGACTTATTGATTCATTTCTTTCTTTCTCACTCTCTATACCCCATTGGGCCCATTCCAATACATTTAGATTCAAATTTCAAGCAAATTATGCTGTGGAACTGTCCCCACCTTGCAAGGTGGGCATAGTTTCACAACGGTGTCGTTTTCGTCGTTCTAATTATAAAAAAAAAAAAAATTATTTTTCACTTGCAGTTAACGACGTTTCTCTCTTCGCAATCGCACAATTTAGAAATTATGAATTTACTGTATTTAAATTATGAATCTACAGTATGGAAATTATGAATCTACAGTATGAAGTTTGTGAACATGTGATAGAGCTATATGTTCATAATTTTATAAATATATGTTCATAATTATAGAGCTATATGTTCATAATTTTCGATGTTCATATTCCCAATTGTTGAACTCTGTATTCACAAATGACAGAAGTATATATTCAAAATTTGATAACTATACAGTTTAGAAGTTATGAATCTACGATACAGAAATTATGAATCTACAGTACAGATATTATGAATCTGCAGTATAGAAATTATGAATCTACTGTATAGAAATTATGAATCTACTGTATTTAAATTATGAATCTACGGTTTAGAAATTATGAATCTACAGTATAGATGTTATGAATCTATAATATAGAAATTATAAAGAGTAAATACCAGCCAAACCTATAGTCCCTAACTTTTGTAATTACCATTCGTGGTCCTCCGAGTTGTGAAAACTGACTTGCTACCATCCTTCCGTTAGTTTATGCCGTCTAAGCCGTCAAAAATATGGGTAAAAATGTCATTTGCCATATTGATTATTGTACTGCTACAACTAGTGTTGCTCCGGCTAAGCTACGTAGAAAAAGGACATGAAGGGGGAGATGAGATAAGGCAAGAGCAAGCTAAGGTATCCAAAACTGTGCTCTATTAGCTTCAAGAACTCACGAAAATCAATGTTCCCATCTTTGTTGCATTGTGATCATACGCAATGATCATCTTCCTGCAATCCTCCTGCGAAAGCTTTGAGAAACCCATTCACCCATTCTGCAGAGGATCCTCTACACCTTGTTTTTGTCTATGAACCCATCGTCATTCTCATCAAACACGCTAAAGCCATCGCCATTCGCATACTGTGGTGTAGCTATAGCAACAAGGAAATCACTTGCAGCATCCCCAGGCCATACCCATCCCATACGAATACATAAATGTGATTGTGTATATTACTAACTGAGTTATTGGGTTTGGTGGCCGATGATTTATACGGACAAGCTGAAGGAACCCTTGCAGGTTTTTGATACTCCTTCCCAAATAATCTGTAAACCTTTGCCTGAAAAAAAAAAAAAAAAAAAAAAACAAATCACAAAACAAGTAGGCCGGATTGAAACAAAAACCCAACAATTTCAAGCCTTGATCTTGAAAACCCCAACAATCAACTTTGAAAACCATATGTAGAAAGATGCGTATGGAGCTTTTACCATGATGAAATTGAAGAGAAGGGGCAAAAGGTTGACAATTGGAACAAGGAAGAGCGGTAACAAACATGCCAAGCAAACCTATTTTTCGTGAAATTGAGAATCAGAGTTGAATCAATAAGTTGAATTTGGAGATGAGGGTTCACTGGAAACACCCACCACCACACCGGAAGCCACTGCTCAGCCTCGACCATCGTCAACCACCGCCGGATCTGCTCGCCTCGCGTCAACTGTTCGCCGGAAAGAAACAAAAGGTCGTCGTTCATCGTTGCTGCTTCGTCGCTGACCCATCTTACCCGTCGACTAAGAGAGAGAGAGAGAGAGAGAAAGAGATATCAGCCGCCGGAAACAGAAGGTGTCGGCGTCGATCTGCTGGGTTGCCTTCATGCCCTGCTCGCTGGGAAGAACGGAGGTCGCCGAAGGAGATGAGAGCATCGCTAGATCCGCTGCTTCCCGTCTACTAATCGCCGGCCGAGAGAGAAAAGGAGAAGGACAAACGGTGGGTGAGAAGAGAAGAAGAGACAAGGATTGTGGTGTTGTTGGTCTTCTCTGTTGCCGCCATTCTGATGGCTCGCCGGGAAGGAAGGCCGTTGCCGACAGCTAGCTACTCCTCTACGTGAGATAACAAAAAATACTTAAAAAAGAATTATATATGAAAAATGACATTTTTACCCTTTCTTTAGACGGTTTAGACGGCAGGAACTAACGGGAGGATGGCAATAATATAGGTCAGTTTTCACAACTCGGAGGACCACGAATGGTAATTACGGAAGTTAGGGATTATAGATGGTGAAACCACCAAACTCGAGGGACCTTGGCTGGTATTTAATCAAATTATAAATTTACAGTATAGAAATTATGGAGGATAACGGTGCCACTAATGGCATCGTTACTCAACTACATGAAAATGGTGACGTTTGAAACCGTACCCACCTTGCAAGGTGGGCACAGTTTCACGGCATAACGATTCCAAATTTCATCACTCATATTTTTCATAAATCTATCTATACTATATATAATAACAAAATCCTGGAGTTTTAACTTCACGCCCAATTCCTAAAAAATCTCTCTTCCCAATAAAATATATTGATTTCTATTTTCCCATTCGTACAATAATTCTGGGTAAAAATTCTATTCTAAAATTTTAAAATAGTGTAATACAATTCCCTTTGTACATCTATACTTCTATACTATATATAATAACAAAATCCTGGAATTTTAACTCCACGCCCAATTCCTAAAAAATCTCTCTTCCCAATAAAATATATTGATTTCTATTTTCCCATTCGTACAATAATTCTGGGTAAAAATTCTATTCTAAAATTTTAAAATAGTGTAATATAATTCCCTTTGTACATCTATACTTCTATATTATATATAATAACAAAATTCTGGAATTTTAACTTCCCGCCCAATTCCTAAAAAATTTCTCTTCCCAATAAAATATATTGATTTCTACTTTCTCATTCGTACAATAATTCTGGGTAAAAATTATATTCTAAAATTTTAAAATAGTGTAATACAATTCCCTTTGTACATCTATACTATATATAATAACAAAATCCTGGAATTTTAACTTCCCGCCCAATTCCTAAAAAATCTTTCTTCCCAATAAAATATATTGATTTCTACTTTCCCATTCGTACAATAATTCTGGGTTAATGTTGTGATGTGTCAAAAGTTCGGCAAGACATAACTTTTGACTCGGTTGTCCGTTTTGGACAAATGTTTTTTTGAAATCGCGTATTTTTTTTGAGATCTATCCACCGCAAACTGCCGTAGGCGGTTTGGCCCACTAATTTCTAAAAAAAAATGCTTTATTAAATAGTTTCTAAGAAAAAACTATGAGAACCTTATGTTTTATTAATGAATTTTTAAATTTTTTAATTAAAAAATTGTACCGTGCATTATTTGATAATCTCTCTTTATAATTGGTCAAATTATTTAATTATGGTAAATTAGAGAATAATTAATGATGGTAATATAAATCCTAGAAGAATATTAGAATTGAAGAATATTTAATTATTGTTATATTATTATTGTGACTCACGGAATACAATACACGAATATTTAATTATGGTTTTATTTTTATTGTGTGTCTCACGGTCATTATATACTAACAAAACTTGAAAAGAAACTAATAATAATAATAATAATAATAATAATAATAATAATAATAATATAAGTGTTAAAAATAATATTTAAAAGTAATTAAGTGTTAATAATAATAGTAAGAATATTAACGTAAGAATTATAAAATAGAATAAATCGTAATAATTAATAACTATAGTCCAGGGTTAAATTTGAAATTGTCAATAAAGATAAGCGACTTCCGGTAAAATTAACTCTTTATCGATTCAAATATTCTTAATATATTACAACAATTCCTTCCCGTGCGTTGCACGGGTGAAAATACAGTTAAGTCAACAATAAAGAGTTTATAGCGGGAACGACCAATTTACGCCAAGCAATCAAAATAAATATATATTTTTTGGTAAAACTAGTAAATAATTCCATGCGAATGAGTGAAAATTGGATTGCATTTTAGGAGGGAAATAATATTTTTTTTTTAAATATTATTTTGTGCTTGAAATGATGGAATAATTTTATAAAATAAATAATGTTCCATACAACAAAGGTCCTCTTTGGTAACATAGTTAGCTTATCAGTCAATTTTGACTTGTTTGATCACTATTGGTTGTTTGACTTGGTTAAATAGCTAATATGAGCCTTTGATTAATTAGCTTCTTTTTAACTGCTTATTGCTCCAAAACGCCTAAAATTCAAAAAGCTGCTCAAAACAACTTTTTCGATAAACTTTTTGAAAAAAAAAAGTCATTTTACATCTAATCAGTTATCAACTAACAATTAATTTATCAAACATTTTTCTACAATCATCTAATGCTATCAACTAATCAAACCCACTAATTCAATCAGCTAACAACTATTTACCAAACACCCCTATGACCTTGTTTGGTAACATAGTTAGCTTATCAGTCAATTTTAGCTTATTTGACCACTATTAGCTGTTTGACTAGGTTAAACAATCAATATGAGTGTTTGATTAATTAGCTTTTTGTAACCGTTTATTGCTCTAAAATGCTATATAAAATTCAAAATGCTACTCAAAACAACTTTTTTGATAAGCTTTTTTGAGAAAGTCATTTTGTATGTAATCAGCTATTAGTTAACAACTAATTTAATTTATAAACACTTTTCTACAATCAGATAATGCAATTAATTAGTCAAACCCACTAACTCAATCAGTTAACAATTATTTACCAAACATCTCTTATACATGAGTTGTGAATAAAATTGATTTCCATACCATTTGATGCTTTGGTTTCATAAACTATTGCATTTTCTATTTCTGTTATTCCATTCTAGTCCACAATTAACTAGATTTAATTTGGTCTCTATCTATAACAATCGTGCCACATAAATTAGCATATTTTAAAATTAAAAGCAGCACATATTACCCCAAATTGAAATGGGTAAGATAGTGCGTAAAGTATGATTCTCATATGGGTCTTATTTTTTATGTATAATTTACACGTCATTACACATAAACAATGTTTATCCAATGCGCACTCGCTAAAAACAGCACATATTGAGTAGTTAATGACTAAATTTTTAATCAATTTTAAATTCAATAATAATAAAAAAAAATTGCAATAGTCGAAAATTAATTCATGCCCCACACATAATATTTGTAAACCTTTTTCAAGACAATTAATCATAGGATATGGTTTCTAATAGCTCTTAGATATTGCAACCAAACACCCTGATTGGCTCTTATCATGTCTGGTTCTGATTCTCTCATTTTCTCCTAAAATTCTAAATAGCTAATTCGTTGCTGCCGAAAATTTTATTTGACTAGAATTAACATTATTTTAGCATGCACATTATGGCATATATTACTATATTAGACATCACATTAAAAAGAGTTCCAAAAAAAAAAAAAAAAAAAAAAACCGTACGTGTAATGGGTTTTGTTTGTTCCCACATAATAATGAAACAGTTAAGCAAAATCATATATAATTATGGGATGGGATGAGATGATATATGTTAGTGCAATATATATATATATATATATATATATATATATATATATATATATATATATATATATAGTCTTATCTGTCCTTGACCAATTAACTTTCTTCTAAATGCAATCATTCTAAGTATTCAGTGGAAGATTGGAGGCAGACAGGCAGTCCAAAACAGTAATGCAACTCGCACGTGCGCCCTCACCTGGCCTCTTTCTCCAATGGGTGTTGCTATTTGCACCCTCCTTTAACCAAATATGGTATAAAATATCATTGAAAATATAAAAAGGTGATAAATTGTAATAAATATATGGGTGGTGCAAATAGCCTAATGGGTGGTCAAAATGCTATTTGCACCATCCTATTAAAACTGCATTTCTGAGTTCAAAATTTAACTCTTAAAAAAAAAAAAAAAAAAAAATACGAAGAACACACCATCACCTTCTCCGGTCTCACCGGAGAAGGCGACGGACTGCCTTCTCACCGGAGAAGGCAACTGGGCTGCCTTCTCGCCGGAGAAGGCGACCCACTGTGTGGGCTGCCTTCTCGCCGGAGAAGGCAGCCCACACATTGGGTCGCCTTCTCGCCGGAGAAGACAACCCATTTGCCTTCTCCGGTGAGAAGGCAGTCCATCGCCTTCTCACCGGAGAAGGTGACGGATCTTTTTTTTTTTTTTTTTTTTTTTTAAAATAACCCATTGGGTTGCCTTCTCCGGTGAGAAGGCAATCCACTGGGCTGCCTTCTCACCGGAGAAGGCAACCCAGTTGCCTTCTCCGCTGAGAAGGCAGTCCCTACCTTCTCATCGGAGAAGGTGACTAGATGGAGTTATTTTTTTTATTTTTTTTTTGTAATTAAAATAAATAAATAAATAAATAAAAATCTTTGACCATATTTAATGCAGGCATTTACACCACCTAAAAGCTATTTGACCTACTAAATAGGTGGTGCAAATAGTAAAATAGGTGGTGTAAATAGCATTACCCTTCTCCAATATACAACATTACAATTATTACGATAATTACGCTCCGTCCAAACTCACTTTGAGGGAAGCTGAGCATCCATATCAAAGGTTTTTTAGTGAATA